GGAGGGAGAGAAGATGGGAGGCAACGACTGAAGCTGCAGAGGCACGGGCACAGGAGCGGCTGACTCAGTGGCTATCGAAGCAAGGGCGACAAACTACAAGAGTAACTGGCTCCGCGGCTATAGACGAGCGGCAGGAGCAACGTACCCACTGGCGACTGGTGCAACAGGCTCACTGGCTACCGAAGCAAGGGCGACGGACTACAGGCGCTTCAGGCGACACGACAGCTACCTTCACACAACCTCCTCCAGCTGCCCCACACCCCTCGACACACACCCCCTGCTCAAACCCTAGTTCCACTCCCACAGGACCCCCCTTTTACACACCCCTTGCTGCACCCTAGGTTCACTCACACCCCACCCCCTGGCACCACTCCGTCGACTCCCACACACCCACCCCCCTCAGCGGCAGCTGCAGCAGTGGGAGACAGAGGAGGAGGAGGAGCAGGGGAGACCACACACCCGCCACCCCCTACTCGCCACCCCCAGACCCTAACACAGGGCAGGGCGGGACGGCGGGTAGGGAGGTTACGGGGGGGGGGGGGGGGGGGGGGGGGAGGGGGGGGGGCGACGCGCGGCCTCCCAGGGCGCCAAAACAGGCGGCAGAAGGGGCGACGCTCGCCCCCCCCCCCAGGTCGCCCCTCGGCAGCCCCCTCAGGTCGCCTCGACAGGCGACGGGAAAAGAGGGGGGGGGCGGTGCACGGGCCCCCGGTGCGCCGCGACAGGCGACGGAGCATGGCCGGGGCGGGGCCGGGGCAGGGTCGAGGGAGGACCGAAAGGGGCGGCGACGGGGCCGCAAGTGGCGGCGACGGGGCCGCTGGAGACGGCGACGGGGCCGATAGGGGCGGCGACGGGGCTGCTAGGAGCGGCGACGGGGCCGCTAGGGGCGGCGACGGGGCCGCGAAGGGGCCGCGAGGGGCCTGAAAGGGCGGCGACGGGCCGCTAGGGGCGGCGACGGGGCCGCGAAGGGGCCGCGAGGGGCCTGAAAGGTCGGCGACGGGGCCGCTAGGGGCGGCGACGGGGCCGCGAAGGGGCCTCGAGGGGCTGAGAAAGGGCGGCGACGGGGCCGTTAAGGGGCGGCGACGGGGCCGGTAGAGGCGGCGACGGGGCCGCGAAGGGCGACGGGGCCGCTAGAGGCGGCGACGGGGCCGCGAAGAGCGGCGACGGGGCCGCTAGGGGCGGCGACGGGGCCGCGAAGGGCGGCGACGTGGCCGCGAAGGGCGGCGACGGGCCGCTACGGGCGGCGACGGGACCGCTAGGGGCGGCGACGGGACCGCTAGGGGCGGCGACGGGGCCGCGAAGGGGCCGCGAGGGGCCTGGAAGGGCGGCAACGGGGCCGCGAAGGGGCCGCGAGGGGCCGAGAAGGGCGGCGACGGGGCCGCTAAGAGTAGCTCACAGAGTAGCAGCGGAAGCAGTTAGGTGGGCCCACAGGCCAGGGGCGTAGATGCTCTGATAGCATGTGAAGAAAATGAGGAATGAAGAAGGAGGGGTTGCACTAGCAGCAGTTGGCATACATATAGGAAACCCTAATTAGGTTGTACTCGCTATAGAGTACCCCACTGCAGGCTAGACAATTATAACATTCTGACAGAACATGTCACACGTCTGACGACATCTAACGCTGCACCCTTTTATTTATTTCGGGAACTCTTTGTGCGCCCAGAAATGTCTAAAGCCGTCCGGGAGATCCGCCGCTGCCAACGTCAGCTCCCTCCTGAGACCAATGTTGTTCAACACAAGGAGTGTGATGACGAAGGAACAGGTTCAGAAATTATAATATGATCACATGGGTCCAAGACAAGGCTATGTATAGGATCGACACAAAGGCAGTAACCCAGGTGTTACTAGAAGGTTTTATGGGTCGCGAATGTTGGTGCAACCCTACTGTTTGCACTCGGCTTGTTGTCCGTGTGCGTGCATGCGTGTGTGCATGGAATGGTATGAGGGCATGGGATAATATATATTTCACGCTTATAATAGTGTGTGAATGTTGAGTCATCATGTCGAGTGTGTGTGTCGAGTCAATAGCGAGTTATCGCTAGTCGCGTGTCACGCGGTCGTTTGTGTCCCGTGCGCGATTTCTATTTTGTCGTGTGTCTCGTGCACGGTTTCTATTTTGTCGTGTGTGTGGAACGTTCGGCGTGTCGCAGGTGTGTGCAGCAGACCCATCAAGAACCCAAGGATGAGTTTGTGGTGAAGAAACAGAGACTTGGTGTCAAGATTCAAGTGATCGCGAAGCCCGCGAAAAGGGTACACCTCATGATATTGAAGATAGTTACATTACTTTGTGTAGTGTAACATTTCACTTGGTGTAGGTTTTAGTGAAGGGTAGTTTCGAGATCCTTCTTGGTTGAGGACAGTGTGGCACTGTTCCACATCACTGTACCTTGGCTCTTGGGGTTTGTAGGAGCTGTAACTCTTCCTAACTCTTTCTATCTTGTGTTCTAAGACCATAGTGGCTGCTATAGTGCCGTTTGTTCAAACCGACGCTGTGTCGTCAATACTTGGTGAAATCGTGCGATCAAAAATTCCTATTGTAGGCGACTTTACGACGCTCCAGATCCAAGTTGAATCAGGTCATTTGAAGCTATTACCAGAACGCTATGAACGTGTAAATTGGCTGTGCAGAAATCCGACTTGCACTCTATCTTTCGTATAGGCACATTGTGTCAAACATTTATCATATAGCCTATTTAGGCTGTAGTGGGTAGACACTAAGGGGTACAGTTTTCCAGGGTTTCATATGGTATAGAGCGGGTTCCCTAGTGGGACCATTTCTTCCTAAGGGCCCACCATTTTTTTTTTTTTTTCCTAACCTGCCCAAAGCGCGCTTCGCGCTCTGCCCTGCCCTACCCTTTCCCGGCCCCTTAGCGGCCTGCCCTGCTCCTGCGGCCCCGTCGCGGCCCCTACGCGGCCCCTTCGCGGCCCCTTCGCGGCCCCTTCTGTTATAGTCACAATAGGCTTGAATGTGCCTAATACGAAAGATAGAGTGCACAGTCGGATTTCTGCACAGTCGGATTTCTGCACAGCGGCTTCAAACGTTGATAGCATTCTGGTCACACCTTCAAATGACTTGCTATGAATTGGATCTGGAGCGTCTAGATATCGCCTACAATAGGCAATTTAAATCACACAATTTATCAAGTATTAATGACGCAATGTCGGTTTGAACGAACGACACTATGGCAGCCACTATAGTCTTAGAACACAAATTAGGAAGAGTTACGAGTTCCGAATGACTCTCAGCTCCTACAAACCCCAAGAGCCGAGGTACAGTGATGTGGAACAGAGCCACACTGTCCCCAACCAAGAAGGGTCTCGAACCTACCATTCACATGTCAAATTATATGCTGTAGTCTTTCTAGGCTGTAGTGGGGTAGACAGTATGGGGTACAGCTTTCTAGGGTTTCATATTTGTACCCAACTCATTTCCTAGTTCATCATTCATTCCTCATTTCTTCACATGGTATAGAGCAGGTTCCCTAGTGGGAACGCTTCCTAGGGCCCACCCCGATCGACTTTTTTTTTTTTTTTCCTGCCCGGAGCGCGCTTCGCTCCTGCCCGATTCGCGCCCCTAGCCCTTAGCGGCCCGTCGCGCCCTCTTAAGGCCCCTCGCGGCCCTTCTCACGGCCCCTCGCGGCCCCTTCGCACCGCCCTTAGCGGCCCCTCTCACGGCCCTTCGCGGCCCCCTACGGCCCCCTTCGCGGCCCGTCGCGGCCCCTTCCCGGCCCCGTCGCTGCCCTCCGCGGCCCTGTCGCCGCCCTTCCCGGCCCCGTCGCCGCCCTTCGCGGCCCCTCGCGGCCCCGTCTCGGCCCCGTCGCCGCCCTTCCCGGCCCCGTAGCCGCCCCTGCAGCAGCAGCCGCCGCCACCCCTGCCGCGGAAGCCGCCACCGCCGGTGCCGCCGACAGCAGCGGCCGCCGCCGTCTTTCTCGGGGCCGCAGCCGCCGCAGCAACCACAGCAGCCACCAGCAGCAGCCGCCGCCACCTCAGCCGGGGCCGCAACCGCCGCAGCCGCTGACTGCAGCCGCCGGCGCGCCTCGGTCCGGCCGACGCGCCTCGGCCCGTCCCTGCCGGCGCGCCTAGGCCCGCCCCTACCGGCGCGCCTCGGCCCTGCCTGCGCGCCTCGGCCCGTCCCTGCCGGTGCGCCTCGGCCCTGCCCCACCACTTGCGGCTCTCTGCCCTGGTAAGAGCATCGCCGCGCTGCGCCTCTACTGCTGCCACTGCTGCTCCTGCTGCCACTGCTGCTACTGCTGCCGCTGCTATCATGGCTACCCCTAGCGTCCTCGTCTTTGATGCTGAGGGTCGGGCTGTTGACTTTGAGGTCTGGGTCGACGATCTGCAGCTTTTCCTACAGTGCGATAGGAAAGACGGTCTCTCACTGTTCGATCTCACGTCTGGCGCCTCCCCTGCCCCTGCTGCCGATGCTGACAGCACTGTTCGCTCACAGTGGGCCACACGCGATGCTGCTGCCCGTCTTGCTGTGCGTAGTCACTTGCCGTCCACTGAGCGCGCGCACTTTAGTCAGTACAAGAGTGCTAAGACCTTGTACGACGCTGTCATTGCCCGCTACTCTTCCCCTGCCATTGCTGCCCTTAGCCGCTTCATGCTGCCGTACCTGTTCCCTGACCTCGCCGCCTTTCCCACAGTCGCTGACCTCATTACGCACCTTCGCACTAGTGACACCCGCTACCGCGCTCCGCTTTCTGCTGAGTTCTGCGCCAAGAACCCCCCCCTTATGTACATCACCCTCTACTACATAGTCACCCGGCTCCCTGACTCCCTTCGCTCGGTCAGGGACCACTTCCTCTCTGTTTGCCCCACCACACTCACCGTTGACCTCCTCGAGGAGCGCCTCCTAGCAGCAGAGAAGAGTATAGTCGCTATAGGAGCCTCTCGTGGTGACCCTCGTACCCCCTTCTTTGAGGGGTGCTCCCCCTCCCCCCTCTTGCCCTCTGTTGCCTCTGCTGCTGTGGCTGACTTCGTTGGCCTCGAGTCGGTCGGAGCTGCGTCTGCCCCTAGCGGGAGACGCCGCACCGGCAAGGGCAAGGGGGGCAAGGGTGCTGGAGGAGCTGGCGGGGGCGGTGGAGGTGGCGGTGGAGGCGGTGGAGGGGGTGGGGGTGGTGGTGGGAGTGGTGGCGGGGGTGAAGTCGTCGGTGGCAGCAGTGGGGGCGGAGGAGGTGGCGGCGGTGGCAGTTGGAGCGGAGGTGGCGGAGGCGGCAGAGGTGGTGGCAGCAGCAGTCGAGCTGGTCGCGGCTCTGCGCAGAGGGTTGGCTCCAGTGGTGGTTAGTGCCAGCAGCAGCAGCGCACTCGTGAGACCCCGTCCCCCCAGCAGCTTCGTGAGTGGTACGCTGGGCGTCAGCGGGGTGGGGGTGCTGGTCCCTGTACCTACGTCCTTCGTACCGGTGACTACGCTGGTGAGCAGTGCGGGGGCCCGCACTCCACCCAGCGCTGCTTCGGCCGCCTGACGGACGCTTGGCGTCACCAGTTCCCTGACGCCACGGAGATCCCTCGCTGGGGCGACTTGTCGAGGGCGGGGGTTGCTATCTTTGATCTTGACTATGATGCTATTCTTGCTGCCATGTATGCTGTGTCTACTAGTGATGAGGGTGACTGTTACCTGTGTGTTCCGCCTGACCCGGGCATTGGTGAGGCTGCTGCTCTAGGTGCTGGTGAGGCTGCTGCTCTAAGTGCTGGTGAGGCTGCTGCTCTAGGTGCTAGTGGGTCTGCTGCCCCAGGTGCTAGTGACTCTGCTCTCTCAGGTACCACGTCGGCTCAGGCCTCCCACACCTTCACCCTTGACTCGGGTGTTTCCTACTCCTCCTTTCGAGACCGCACCACACTCACGCCGCTTAGTCGGCCAGTTGCGGTCTCCCTGGCAGACCCCTCTGGGGGTCCTGTCCTTGCCCACTTCTCCACTGTCTTACCGTGTCCGGCGGCCCCTTCTGACACCCTCTCAGGTCTTTACCTCCCCTCGATCTCTACGAACTTGGTGAGTGGTGCTGATCTACAGGATGGGGGGTTCACCAGTTCACTCCTGCGAGTCAGCGAGTGACCCACTGCACGTGTGCTCGGACGGGCCGACACCTGGCCACTTTACCCGTCGGCCGGGGTCGAGCCTGTACACACTGACTATTGGGTCTCCTCCGGTTGTTGCGTCTGGTCAGGTAGCTGCGTCGGGTCAGGTGTCTGCTATATGGATGGTCAACGGCATGTATAAGAAGTGTTCGAGCTGTAATCAATTTCGCATCCACACCGTTCCATTTATAGGACATGGCTCCACGCAAGCAGAGTAGGAAAGGCAAGGAAAAGGTGGACGACGATGACAACGTTCCCTCGCCCTTAGACCATCCTTACCTAGTGTGGATGCATCAACAGCAAGAATTGGGAGTTGAGAGGGGACTTATTCGTCGCGATGCGTGCATCCCTTTTCCTATTATGCCCAGTTCTTCCAGCGCCGCTTAGGTTGCGCCATCAAATGCGACCACCAGATCTACTGCGGCCCCGGATAGCAAGGACTCTTCTGTGAGCAATTGGAACTTGTCCCCCTCTGACAGTGACACAGACGAAGACGACAGCTCCTCCGACGATAAGAGTCGTCCTTTAGGGAAGAAAGGCTGTCAACGGGAGTTGTGTGTTGGCCCCGTCCTCGCTTGGGCGGAGCCGACTTCGTGGTCGGATGTGAGGGGAGCAGCCGACCTGCAGCAGTGGGCGAGCTGGTTGACGAGGAGGTCGACCTGCACGGTGAGCCACTGCACGGGCGCCGACTTTGGGGTGGCGCCGACTTCAGGGAGGTCGACCTGGGAAGTCGACCTGCGGAAGACGTCAACTTGGTGACGTCAACTTGGGGCAGCCGACTTGGGTGGTCAGCTGACAGGACTACTGGTCGACCTGGTAGTTGGTCGACCAGGCCTGCTGGTCGACTTGGAGTCTACGAAGATTAGGTGCCCAAATTTCTCAAAATCGTTGGCTTAAAATTCTGGACAGAAAACGTCGAGTTCACAAGAAACGCCGTCGACAAACGGTGCACTGTTAAAACTTCACCAAACTCATATATGTTGTAGCCCTAGTCCGTGGCTACAATTCCCAATTTGAATCGTACAATAAGGTGAAGTATTTCTTGAGTTCTGAATTTCGACGCACTAGGGGGTAAGCTGCCATAGAATCTTAACTCAATCACAATTTATCTCACGAAGTTCAACACAAGAAAGTTAGAGTAGCAATTGAACCAGGTAGGAGAGAAGAGGAGGACGAGAAGGAAGGTCCCCAAGGAGCCCCAACCAAGAAAACCCCATAAGCACAAAGATTCCCTCCTTATGGGCACCCCAACTTTGACCTTTGTCACTTTCCCAACCCATGCCATCCACCTCACCCAACTTGGCCACACTTGCCAACCTGGTTTGGCTCCTCCCAACCACTTGGCAGCATCTACAGTGATGTTGACGAATTTCCCAACCCCCAAAAGTCTATACCCCTTATGGAGTCAACCCCACAACTTCCCATAGTCACCACGACCTAATATCAAAAGCATACGAACTTCTAACGTTAACTTTCTTGTTCGTGCTCCGATTGAAGCGATACTTGGTTCGTCGGAAAGCTCTTGAGCAGAGAAGTCACTTCAGATTTTTGCTCAAGTCAAATAACATTTACACACACTCAGAAATACCAAACCACATCAAACACAGATTCTTGTACACGCTCACCCCACGCATGCAACGCACGAACATGTGATGGGAGGCAGTCAGACGTGAATGCATGTGATAGCATCACATAGCATCCCAAGCCCCACAAGCTTCCCATTGGCTCCCATCACCTTGGCATTCCCCACACCGATCACAAGGAGCAAAGCACATGAAGCAGCAGCCACAAACTTGATCTTCCCAGTGTCACAAAGGTATCTATCGAATGAACAAAAATAAGAAACAACTAGTACAAGGATGGATACAGGAAACCCTAACTAAACGTAGGGCAAAGTGTAACACACATAGACTTTTCAGAATCCCAGCCACTAACCACTGGGATAAAAGGGCTTGTTTGTGTAGCGGGTGAGTGCGCCCATAACCCCCCAGGCCAACGTGCCTGTAACCCTTTCCTAGGATCAATCGGGGATCACCAGTGGACCTCTGACAAGACTAACACACATAACCTAGAACAAATATAGTTTGACATACCCCAATAGTTTAGGTGACAATAGTCATGTGGAAAGCAACACACAACCCATGAGCAAGGGTCACAGGACCATTCAGCAAGAGCAAGCCAAGGTCACAAGACCAGTTCACAAGAACAAAGCAACTCTCTGGTTGGATCTCAGGATCACCACACAGTCCGAGAACAAACAAGGGGCCACAAGGCCAGTCCACATGCAAGTACATAGCAGATATAAGAGATGCAAGAGTACAAGACATGCGTGACAAGCATCTCTACAGAAGCAAGGGGCCACAAGGCCTGTCCACGAGCATAGATATATAATATATAGTGAGATGCAAGAGTAAGACAAAGCATCTCTACGCAAGCAAGTGAGGGCCTGTAGACGCAAGGCCTAGCTGGGTGCAGAAATGCTGGTGGTCACAAGGCGGCAACGCCTTGGTGAAGATATCTACAGTGTTGGCTTCCGAGACCACACGTCGCACAAGTGCCTGGCCACGCTGCTGCAACTCTCGCAGAAGGAAGTAATGGAGTTGGATGTGCTTCGCCTCCCCAACCAGTCAGGGCTCCTCGCACAACAGGATAGAAGACCTGTTGTCGGCGAACAGGACTGGGGAAGCGTGAGGCCGCTTACCGAGGTTGGCAAGGAGGAAAGACAGCAAACGACGCTCCTGGACTGCCATGGCCGTAGCGTACACCAATGCATTATAGCTGGAACTGGAGACGGACGACGTCCGAGCTGACCTCCACGAAATAGCTCCGGTCCCAAGGTTGAAGCAGTAACCCTGTGCAGACCGTAGCGACTCAGCGTCGTCAGACCACGACGAGTCCGAGAAACCTGTAAGTGTAACTGGCTGCTTCCCTCTAAGGTCAAGTCCTGTTGGTGCAACCCTACGGTTTGCACTCGGCTTGTTGTCCGTGTGCGTGCATGCGTGTGTGCATGGAATGGAATGAGTGCATGAAATAAATATATATTTCATGCTTATAATAGTGTGTGAATGATGGGTCATGATGTCGAGTGTGTGTGTGTCGAGTCAATAGCGAATTATCGCTAGTTGCGTGTAACGTGGTCATTTTATGTGTCCCGCGCGGTTTCTATTGTTGTCGTGCGCGGTTTCTATTTTGTCGCTTGTCGAACGTTCGGCGTGTCGGAGGTTGTTGGTGCAACCCTACGGTTTGCACTCGGCTTGTTGTCCGTGTGCGTGAATGTGTGTGTGTATGGAATGGTATGAGGGCATGGGATAATATATATTTCATGCTTATAATTGTGTGTGAATGTTGAGTCATGATGTCGAGTGTGTGTGTCGAGTCAATAGCGAGTTATCGCTAGACGCGTGTTACGCGGTCGTTTGTGTCTCGCGCGCGGTTTCTATTTTGTCGTGCGCGGTTTCTATTTTGTCCTCTGTCGAACGTTCGGCGTGTCGCAGGTGTGTGCAGCAGACCCATCAAGAACTCAAGGATGAGTTTGTGATGAAGAGCCCGAGCCTTGGTGTCAAGCCTCAAGTGATTTCGAAGCTCGCCAAAAAGGGTACACCTCAAGATATTGAAGATAGTTACATTACTTTGTGTAGTGTAACATTTCACTTGGTGTAGGCCCTAGTGAAGGGTAGTTTCGAGACCCTTCGTGGTTGGGGACAGTGTGGCACTGTTACACATCACTGTACCTCGGCTCTTGGGGTTTGTAGGAGCTGGGAGTCATTCCCAACTCGTAACTCTTCCTATCTTGTGTTCTAAGACTATAGTGGCTGCCATAGTACCGTTTGTTCAAACCGACGCTGTGTCGTCAATTCTTTATCAAATCGTGCAATCAAAATTGCTAATTGTAGACGACGTGAAGACGCTCCAGATCCAATTTGAATCAAGTCATTTGCAGCTGTGAGCACAACGCTATCAACGTTTGAAGCCGCTGTGCAGAAATCCGTCTGTGCACTCTATCTTTCGTTTTAGGCACATTCAAGCCTATTGTGACTATAACAAGTGGTATCAGAGCCCCTTGGAGCAGTTTCGACAATGTCTGGACCTGAGGAAAGGGGTGGCAGAGGTGCTGGTGGCAGTGGAGAAGCTCAAGCTCAAGGCCAACCCCGTGATTCAGCCATGGCGCCCATGCAACCAAGTCTTGGCCCACCTAGGGATGAGCCTAGGGTGTTTGGGCTTGACAAGTTCAACGGTGACAACTTTGCTGAATGGTCCTTCAAGATAGAGAACATCTTTGACCACTATGACCTGCTGGAGGTGATGGAAGGAACGGAGAAGCGCCCCGAGAACGACCCGGAGAAGAGCCCGTGGGTGCGGAAGAGCGCACAAGGCTATCTCTTACTTGGGCAAGCGTTGGGGAGCAGTCAGATCCGTCACATCAAGCCATTCCAGCGTGAACCAGAGAAGGGACCAAAGGCATGGGCTGCTCTCAAGGGTGTACATGCTCCTGCAACAGCGGCGGGAGCTGATTTGAACTACAGTGAGCTCCAAAAGAAGACCAAGTTGCTGGCCTTACTCCCAGAGTCATGGTCCTCGCTCATCATCAACCCTAATCGCGACTTGCCCCGCCTCTCGCTTGAAGACGTGAAGCGAGCTATCCTTCAAGAGGATTTCCGCCGCCGTGAGTTGGCGAGTGCGGATGGCGCTGGGGCAGCGAGCATCGGCCGTGGATATGGTCGAGGAAGAGGCAGAGGACGAGGGGGAGGAAGGTTTGGTGGCAGCAACTTCGGCGGAGGCCGCAGGAGTGGCGGTTACGGCAGCGACGACAAGAGCTACGGACGCGGTCGCGGCCGATTCGACGGCGAGTGTCACTATTGCCACAAGAGCGGACACATGTGGCGCGACTGCTACAAACTCCCTGATGGTTGGACCCCTGCTCAAGGCCAAGAGGGTAGAGGAGCAGGAGGAGGGAGAGGACGAGGCCGTGGAGGCCGTGGCGGTCGCGGTGGCGGAGCTGCAAACATGAAGAGCGGAGACAACGACAAGGACCCGAGCGACGATCGATACCCGGGTCTATTCTACTTCGTGTCGACGCAAGTACCGGCTGGTCCAGAGAAGGATGAAGGCTTTGAGGAGCCAGCAGCTGTGGGGAAGGTGACCCTACACCCCCTGGACTATTGGGTGATTGATAGTGGCGCTACCTATAGCATGACACCTCGCCCGGACTTGCTCACCGAACTCGAGCCGTCACCGGTGAAGCATGTCACATCGGCTTTGGGGCAGCGAGCAGAGGTGAAAGGCATGGGCAAGGCCATGTTCAAGGGTGCTGATGGGAAGATGGTGGGCCTCAAGAACGTGCTTTGGGTGCCCAGCCTTGCTGCAAACCTGATTTCCGTGCGGCGGTT